GAAGGTCAGAGCTATAACATAGGTTCTTAAAACTGTCAAAGTAGAAGATATGAAAATTTTCAAATTACATAAGATCTTGATTTATATCTTATGGAACATTTCAGTTAGATAATTGTGGTTAAAATTAATTTTACGGGGCCGGCACTGTGGCTCACTTGGTTAGTCCTCCGCCTGCGGCGCCGGCATCCCATATGGGCGCCGGGTTCTAGTCCTGGCTGCTCCTCTTCCAGTCCAGCTCTCTGCCGTGGCCCGGGAGTGCAGTGGAGGATGGCCCAAGTGCTTGGGCCCTGCACCCCATGGGAGACCAGGAGGAAGCACCTGGCTCCTGACTTCGGATCGGCGCAGCGCCAGCTGTGGTGGCCATTTAGGGGAGTGAACCAATGGAGGGAAGACCTTTCTGTCTCTGTGTCTAGCTCTGTCAAATAAATAAAAAAATTAATTTTAAACTGTCTCTTAGAGTTTTGTTTTTCACTATATGGTAATACATTTTTTTGGCTTAAAAAATAAAAAACAAGTATTAAAATACTATCAATCAAACCCTGAAGGTGTTTTCTTTTTGCTGTTTCAGCAAAGCCTTTCAGATTCTTTCAAATTAGTGTTAAACTACAAAGAGTTCTTTTAATCTTTTAGGAATTCTGGCAAAACCTAAATTCTCAGCATATTTTAATGATTCTGACTTGCTATAATCTAATGATTATAAGAGAAACAATAGAGGAGGCATTTATCAAAATACAAAAAATGTGTATTATCAGGCACTGTAAATGAACTGGTGTTATGTTGTTGTTCTTTATTTTCTTGAGAGGTGAAAAGACACAGGGAGACAGTGAAAGAGAGGAAGGGGGGAGGGAGAGCACTCAAGCACATTCCCATCTGACGGCTCACTCCTCAAATGCCCAGGGAAGCCAAGACTGGGTTAGACCACAGCTGGGAGCCTGGAACTCAAACCAGGTCTCACACACATGTGACAGGAACCCAACTACTGAGTAAGGAGCTAGAGCTGGGACTTGAACCCAGGCCCCTGGTAGTGAGCTGCAGGTAACTTAACCGCTAAGCTGAACATCCACCATTTTCTATATGTTCATTTTATTTCTGTCTTATAAAACTTGGTGTTGTAACTGCTAAGTCAAAGAGGATTTAGGAAAGGACACTGGGACATACACCAGATACATTTAAATTCTTATGAAATTTCATTTACTCCATGAACATCTAGTATCAAGTTAACATACAGTCCCACCTACATCCTCAACTGCATTGGTCTGAACATTCTCATAGCATCCTTTCACTCCAGTCAGATACAGTCCCTCAAATGTTCTTCTCATGCTATTATCTGTATGCGCAGAGACCTCTGGAGCTCTCTCGTTAACAGCTGGTTTCTGGGGTGTACAACTGGGATGCCTGCTTTGCTCCTGATTCCAGCTTCCTACAAATATGCACCCTGGAAGGTAGGAGTGATGGTTCAAGTAGATGGTTCCTTTCACCCATCTAGAAGATCTGGATTGAGTTCTGGGCTCAGCCTGACGTGAACCAGCAGACAGATGAAAGATCTCTATCACTCCCTCTGCTTTTCAAATAAATCAGAATTGGCTCTTAAGATTTTATTCATTTGAGAGGCAGAGTTACAGAGAGAGAAAAAGAGAGAAAGGTCTTCCATCTGCTTGTTCACCCTGCAAATGGCTGCAATGACCAGAACTGGGCTGATCTGAAGCCAGGAGTCAGGAGCTCCCTCTGAGTTCTCCCATGTGGGTGCAGGGGCCCCAGGCACCTGGGCCATCTTCCCATTGCTTCCCCAGGTCATTAACAGGGAGCTGGATTGGAAGAAGGGCAGCTGGGACAGGAACTGGCACCCATATGGGATGCCGGCACTGCAGGCGAAGCTTACCATACTATGCCATAGCATCAGCCCCCCAGAATTGGCTTTTGTCACCCAACATTCCCCAAGGCCTCCCACCTGTCTTAGCTACCCTTCATCCCAGCTTAGTTAGCTATTCTTTCTTTGGGTTTCCTTCAGCATATTCCGACATTATATTTAAAATTCCCAGTGAAGGATGCTGTAAGTTTTCTCACTTTTCCCAAAAGTCAAAAACACAAGTTTGTTTAGGTATTTATATATTTTTCAAAATTTCTGAATTCCTCAGCTCTGGGCCTCGTACACTATAGGAAAACAAATAAAATGTCTGCTAAATGAATGTACACTGATTATGTCAGAGCTCCCCACACTTTTTTTTTTTTTTTTTTTTTTTTTGACAGGCAGAGTGGACAGTGAGAGAGAGACAGAGAGAGAAAGGTCTTCCTTTGCCGTTGGTTCACCCTCCAATGGCTGCCCTGGCCGGCACACTGCGCTGATCCAAAGCCAGGAGCCAGGTGCTTCTCCTGGTCTCCCATGGGGTGCAGGGCCCAAGCACTTGGGCCATCCTCCACTGCACTCCCTGGCCACAGCAGAGAGCTGGCCTGGAAGAGGGGCAACCGGGACAGAATCCGGCGCCCCAACCGGGACTAGAACCCAGTGTGCCAGTGCCGCAAGGCGAAGGATTAGCCTAGCGAGCCGTGGCGCCGGCCTCCCACACTCACTTTTTATCCAATAAAATATAAGTTTATATTTTACAAAAATGGAGGAACTAAGGCAGGAAGGAGTTTGCACCAGAGAACTGTTAGCAAAGATTAACAGGAAAAAAAAAGAAACAATCTTCCATTTTGACTAATTAACATTCCAGTTCTTTATAGAACAAATGAGTCTCTAAATCATTCTCCAAACACAAACATCAAATTCCCAGTTTTGCCCACAGAGGATTTAGCTTTTCTTATTTAAGGATTCAAAATCATTAAAACCAGCTCTCTCTCATTCCCCCACAGAACTCTGGCACAGCCAGGGACTAATCTAAAAAGCCAATAATAGAGACACGTGGAAGGGTTTTCCTTTACTCATGAAAACTCTCACTTCCAGCTACCCACGTCACAGTTGGCTAATCCTTTAGCACTGATTCAACCAGAAGAGCCCTTTTCAAAACAAAGCAAAACAGGACCTGACCCTGCTAAGTTTGAATCACCTGAGATGACCAACTTGTTCTTGAATTTCTTACACTTTGCACAGTGCTAAGGGCCTCCCGATTCCCCGTTCTTGCTCCATCCTCCTGCAAAGGCAGCAATATTGGAGAGGAGGCACAATCAGTCCAAGGGTCAAAGTGCAGCTGGGGCCAGTTCTCTATACAAAAAAGAACCTTCTATCGTCTACAGGTGTGTTTCCTTCACTCTCAACTGGTTCCTATTAGCAGAAGAGTGCAGGAGAAAAAGAGGAACTTCAGCGCTGATTATAACTAAAGCTGATCCAATGCAGCAGGGATAGGAAGTAAAAGAAAATAACTTCTGAGCAACACTTAAAAATTCCTTAACATATGGTCTTTTTCCTCTTGAACGGATTCAAAGTGCTTCATAGAAATAGTAATACTCCTAACAAACAAGGATAAAAAGAGCTTGTTACATATGGAGAAACCAGTACTGGATTGAGTACTAAGACTCGAATTTTGCCTCTGTGGCAAAGCCACCCGCGAGACAGCAAGCTGGAGTCCCCGAAATTAAAGGCAGTCCCACTGACAGAACAGAGAATGCCTACAGAAGGGAAAAACAAACAGAAGAGAAAGGTCACTCCAACTGATTTCAAACCAAATAAACCCTCCAACCCTAACCAATGCAAAGGAGAGCCGCCTGGCCACAGAACACAGTGGAGTCTGGTTTTGACACTTCATTTTCCCACGGTTACCCCTGTGGTTTATTGTAATCCAAAAGTGACAAGAAAACTTTGTGATACAGCCAGAGCTGCCTCAAAAGGCAGTTTGCCTACCATAATGCCCCTAAGTAAAATATTTCAGGGGAGGCCTCATTACTCGCAGGGTAATTCCACTCGATCGTTAATTTCTGGGGTGGAGAGAGCCGTCTTGCAGTCAGGGAGACTTGGGTCTAATTTCTGGCTCTGTCCTTACGAGCCCGAGTTCTCTCCTCCAAGAAGTCCTAATTTCTGAGTCTCGGCTTCCTTACCTTCAAACCGTCGCTAGTAACAACTGCTTAGTAGGTGGGTCTGTGGCGTGAGAGAAGCCATCTTGGCGGCTGGCACGCACTCAGTAACGGCTAGTATTTACAGAATGAGTTCTTACTAAACAGAGGCAGTCGCAAGGTGAAAGTTCTCCCAGTGGCAGAAGACAAAACCCTCGCACGTGCGTGGCTTCCACAGCTTTTGTGCACCGCCCCCTATCGGCTCTCGACGAAGACGAGGGCAAGCGACCGAAACTTGGGCTTATAAAATGTTTGTGTCCGCTGCCAGGTTGTTCATGTCCTAACTCTACAAATAAGAAAACGAACCCTACACAGCCACCAAGTAAATTCTGGAAAGGCGGATCCGGAACACGGGCGTCCTCACCGCCACCACCACCTCGCCGGCCCGCGGCTCACTAGGGCGTTCTCAGCTGTCGCTGCGCGGCTCCGCGGCGGGCATCCGCCTCTGCACGCACCACCCCGTGCGTCGGTGACCAGCCTGCGCTCGGCCTCCAGGCCGCGCCCAGCGACGGGCGGGCAACTGAAGGCCGGTTCTGGCCTTCGAAATGTCGAAGGCCGTTAAGTGACTTCTGAACAGGGCCCACTCCTAGCCTTCTCTCTCGAGGCAGCGCCCGCTTCTCTACCCGAGAGTTCCATCATCCTTCCCGGGTTGGGCCCCTGTGACACCCCAGGGCCTCGCCAGCCCTCAGCCTCGCCTTTCCCGCCCTGAGCGCCTGCACGCACCGCCGACCTTAAAGGCCCGTGCACGGACGAATCCACGGGGCTTTGCTCCCTTCTCGCCTCCTTGTTCTTATTGGGTAGCCTCACCTTTTCCCCGCCCCAAAGATTTTGACTTCGTTAAGGATTGGGCCTGGGCGTCGTCCATCCCGACAGCTTCCCCCCTCCCCCATTCCCCGGCACCGTCCGCCGCCTTTTGCCCACTAGACCCCCAGGCCGCAACCCTCCCTTATCCCTTGCACTCCCCAACCATTCCTCGTCTGGGTGGAACTGGCGCACCTGGCCACGGCCCGAGCCTGAAAGGGACTGGCCCCTCCTCCTGCTCCAACCCCACCCACCGGGCCCTTCTCCCCCATCTCCCGAGCCTCGCGCTCCATCCCAGAGCGCCCGCGCCACCTCCGCCCGTCGCTCTCGCCCGCAGCTCAGACACAGCCGGGGCGCTCGGCAGAGCCCGCGGCGCGCGAGGGGCATGCGCTCCATGAGGGCTCTGCAGAACGCGCTGAGCAGGGCCGGCAGCCGCTGCCGGCGGGGAGGCTGGGGTCACCCGAGTCGGAGCCCTCTCCTTGGCGGGGGCGTCCGGCACCACTTCAGTGAGGCCGCGGCGCAGGGCAGAGAGCCGCCGCACATCCACCAGCCGCAGCGCCAGGATGAGTAAGGCTCGCGGGACAGGGGCCGGGGACAGGCTCGCTCCCACTCCCACCGTCCCCTTCCCCAGGGAGCGCATCTCTTCTCCCCCTTTCCTCGCTCAGTAGCCTGCGATGCCTTTCCCTTTAGATTTGGGGCTCTGGGTCCGCCGCGCTCGGGCGGTTAACTGCCGTGCGCCCGGGAGGGCGTTTGGGCAGGTCGGTCCTCGGGATGATGCCTGTCCAAGGTGCGTATTCAGCTAGGGGCGCAGTGGGTTTGGAGTGTTGGCGTGGTGCACGTGTCTGAGTGCAGGGCCGCGTGCGCGCGCGCGCCCACCCGTACCCTCCCTCACCTACCCGCGCCGCGTGTGTGTTTTGGGGGGATGCGTGAGTCTGGAATAGCCTCCTGCTTCGGGTGCAGGCGTACTTGGGGCTGTGTGTCCTCGGCAGGTAATGGGTGATGCGTGGGTATTATGGTACATGCGTGTGTGTCCGATGGATGCGTAACAGGGCCCCCTAATATATAGAATAAGGGCGGCTTTACAAATCGGTTGTCGATGATGATGAGACCAGTTCTAATGAGGAAAATCGTTGAGACGCAGGTTTCCCTGGCTAGGGCAGGTCAGTGCGGTTGTTCCTACTGCTCGGGCTCCCTGATTTAAAGGGTTCTCTTTCCGTGGGCGCTTCTTCCTCCGTGAGGCTGATCCTCCCTCTCCTTCATCACCCAGGAACTCTGGGTGATGGAGCCTTTTCTTTTTTCCCCTGAGCTTGAAATCCAGTCCTCCCAGAGGGCCAGCTAGACACTGTCCAAGTGGCCCCCCATCTGTGATACAGGAACAGGAACCGGCCATCTCCCCTGTCAATGCCGTTTACCTAATGACGCTGGGAAACATAGGCACACCGTAATCAAAGTCGGCAGGCTGACACAGCACACTGCCTCACCATCAGTGAAGTCCCTGTCCTCCACCGTAACAGACCAACAGATATTTATTACTAATAATCGTTATTATGCCACAGTTTTGCCATTAGCCTCTTCTCAGAGATATAGAACATTAAAAGGGTAAGCCCTCTCCCTCCTGTTCCAGCGTCCGCCCTAGCAATCACCAGGGGAGAAGTAATTTTGGGATACAGCTAAGACTTCACCTTCCTCCCTCTCCAAACCTTCTGTGGGGGAGCTAGAGGTACCCCTAGTTTTGCCTCCCTCCCCATCTCCTTGTCCAGGGGAATCCAGCGCTGGATGTCTGTAGGGGACTTGTTTCTACTTTCTGTGGCTGCCCGTTTCCCCAGGGAACCTCTCACGGCCTGGGACTGGTGCCCGCTGGGCAGAAGTGGGTGAGAACACCAGGGTGGTGGGCTCCGACAGCAAAGGAGGGCAGCAAAATGGAGATGCTGCGATTTGGTTCACTGTTTTGTTTGGGTTTGTTTTGTTTTTAAATATTTAGCTTTATTGTGTTTCTAATTTTAAGAGAAAACCAAGATAAATACAGAGTGTCAAGGAAAAAATAAAGATCTCAGTGTTACCGATAATCAATTAATAATGATATACCCATATATAGCCTATACATGTACGTGTATGCATGTAATTTAACAAAAATGGCATCCTAATATTCATGTTCTTTGGTAGCCTATCTTTTCTATTTCTCAACAGCTTTTACTGTCATTGAATTTATGTGTGTGTCACTTGGCATTTTTAATAGCTGCCAAAAAATGTTGAGGTATCACAACTTATTTAAACCAATCTTCCTTAAGGAAGATGAGTCATTCTTACCCGTTTTCTGTATGTCCATCCTTCCGAAATACCTTGTGCCTGAATAAGCAAGTGTATTTTTCCATCTTAAAGATAAGTAGTATCATACTATGTACACTGTTTTACAATGTTCTTCTTTTGGTTAATGTTACATCTTAGAGATAATTACATATCAATATAGCACTACCTAGTTTCTTATTTTATACTGAATGATATCTGTTATATGAATATACCATAATTTACCTAACCAATTCTCTACTGATGCACAGTTTCCAATCTTAATAACAATGCAGTGAGTAATTGTGAATATGTTACTTTGCAAGTATGTGAGTATACCTGCAGGATAAATTACTGGAAGTCAAATCATTGATTCAAAGGATTTTTATGGGTCTTAATTAGCTATCATATTTGGAAATGAACTGATAAAATAATTCCTCTAAATTGGTTATATTAATAGGATAACTCTTGAAGACCAAGAAGTCTTCAGTACCTAGAATTTTAGGTGTTATAAGCCAGTAGGGCCTTCCTAGCCATGCTACTTGGTAATTCTTACTGAAGACCCACTGTGTGCTAGGGACTTTGCTCAGTGCTAGGGAGACAAAGACCTAACAGTGGAGCAAGGGAGATTGCCCTGACACTACAATGGTCGCACAGTAGCAGAAGCAAAATCTGGAGGTCTGAGGAAGCCTTTATGGAGTAGGTGACATTTGAAAGGGACCTTGAAGGACAAGCAGGATCGTGCTGGGTGAAGGTGATTCCATGCAGCATTACCACGTAAGCAAAGGCCAGGAAGCCTTTTGGGGCGCCATCTGCAGTCTGTCATTACTGGTGGGGGGCACCATGGGGAATAGGAAAGGAGGGTTGGCAGATTTTAAAGAGCCTTAATGGGCCGATGTTGTGGCACAGTGGGTTAAGCTGCCACTTGTGCCAGCGCCCCATTATCAGAGTGCCAGTTCCCATGTCAAGTGTCCATTCAAGTCCCAGCTACTCTGCTTCCAACCCAGCTTCCTGATAATGTGCCTGGGAAGGCAGCAGATGATGGCCCAAATAGTTGGGTCCCTGCCACTTACATGGGAGACCCAGATGGAGTTCCAGGCTCCTGGTTGTGACCTGGCCCAGCCCTGGCTGTTGCAGCCATTTGGGGAGTAAACCAACAGATGGAAGATCTCTTTCAGTTTCTCCCTCTCTGACTGCCTGCATTTCAAATAAATAATTCTTTTTTTAAAAAAAAAAAAAAAGGAAAATTCAGAGATGGAAATTAAAAATAAATAAATGCCCATACCAAGAAAGAAGAACTTAGAACTTAGTTGTGTAGGCAGTATAGAGGTAACCAACGTTTTTTGTGTTTCTTCTTTTTAATTTTATTTATTTGCTTGAGATGCAGAGATAGAGTGAGCAATCCCTTTTACTGGTTTACTCCTTAAGTGTCCGCAATGGCCAGAACTCTGCAGGGCTGAGGCCAAGAGCAGGGAAGCTCAATGCAGTTCTCCCAAGTGGGTGTCAGCAACACAATTACTTGAGCCATTACTGTTGTCCTCTGTGTTAGTAGGGAGGTAGAATAAGGAGTCAGAAATGGGACTTGAACCCAGGCACCCTGATAAGGGATACTGGCATCCTAATTAGTTTCTTCCTTCCTTTTCCTTTTCTTTTCTTTCTTTTTCTCTCTTCTTTTTCTTTCATTTATTTGAAACAGAGAGAGAGAGAGATCGATCTTCCATCAGCTGGTTCCCTCCCCAAATGGCAACAACAGCTGGAGCTGGGCCAATCTGAAGACAGGAGCCAGGAGCTCCTACCAAGTCTCCCATGTGGGTACAGGGACCTGAGTATTTACGTCATTTTCTGCTGCTTTCCCAAGCACATTAGCAGAGAGCTGGATCAGAGGTGGAGCAATCAGGACTCTAAACTGGCACCTGTGAACTGCAACTGATACCAATGTTGCAGGCATCAGCTTAACCCACTGCGCCACACCATCAGCCCCTACCAATAGTTTTTTTTTTTTTTTAATTTTTTTAAATTTTATTTTTTGGCAGGCAGAGTTAGACACTGAGAGAGAGAGAGACAGAGAGAAAGTCTTCCTTTTTTTGTTGGTTCACCCCCCAAGTGGCCACTACAGCAGGTGTGTTGCAGCCGGCGCGCTGTGCCGATCCAAAGCCAGGAGCCAGGTGCTTCTGGTCTCCCATGCAGGTGCAGGGCCCAAGCACTTGGGCCATCCTCCACTGAACTCCTGGGCCACAGCAGAGACTGGACTGGAAGAGGAGCAACTGGGACAGAATCAACGCCACAACCAGGACTAGAACCCAGGGTGCCGGCACCGCAGGTGGAGGATTAGCCTAGTGAGCCACGGCGCCGGCATACCAATAGTTGTTTGTTTGTTTGTTTGTTTTACAGGCAGAGTGGACAGTGAGACAGAGACAGAGAGAAAGGTCTTCCTTTTGCTGTTGGTTCACCCCCCAAGTGGCCGCTGCATCCAGCGCACCGCGCTGATCTGAAGTCAGGAGCCAGGTGCTTCTCCTGGTCTCCCATGGGGTGCAGGGTCCAAGTACTTGGGCCATCCTCCACTGCACTCCCGGGCCACAGCAGAGAGCTGCCCTGGAGGAGGGGCAACCGGGACAGAATCCGGCGCCCCGACCGGGACTAGAACCCGGTGTGCCGGCGCCGCAGGTGGAGGATTAGCCAAGTGAGCCGCAGCGCCGGCCATACCAATAGTTTTTAAGCACAGAAATTACATTTGAATTTTAGAAAGGTAATTGGCATGTTGGTGGATGATGGATTGGAAGTCAAGCGATTTGGTAACAGACAATAAAGAGCTGATGAGGGGCCGGCGCTGTGGCGTAGTGGGTAAAGCCGCTGCCTGAAGTGCTGGCATCCCATATAGGTGCCCATTTGAGTCCTTTGCTGCTCCACTTCTGATCCAGCTCTCTGCTGTGGCCTGGGAAAGCAGTGGAAGATGGCCCAAGTGCTTGGGCCCCTGCACCTGCATGGAAGACCTGGAAGAATCTCCTGGCTTGCGATCGGCCCAGCTCTGGCCATTGCAGCCATTTGAGGAGTGAACCAGTGGATGGAAGACCTGTCTCTTTCTCTCTCTCTCTCTCTCTCTCTCTCTCTCTCTCTCTCTTTCTCTTTCAAATAAATAAATATTTTTTTAAAAAAAGAAGAGACCTGGATTTTGAGCACTTGTACTCTAATCACTGCATTAACCAGCTAATAACTGAACAAATGATTCTACCACTCTGAGCTTTATTTTCTAAAAAAAAAAAAAAAAACAAATGAGCTGATGATAAAGAAGCATGATATACCGAGCATGTACTTTGTCAGTTTTCCACAGAATTATCTTAGTTAAGCCTCACATCGCCGTTGTGATGCAGTCATGCCCCCCACCCTTACTTTACAGATGAGAAAGCAGGTTGAGCTAGCTTGAGGACCTACCCAAGGCCATATGCAATCAACAATAAACTTTGGTTCTTTCTACTGCACCCAGCTGGCACAGGGGAAAGGAGAATAGATGGTGGACTTGAGAGACATTATGGTGGTATATGCATTCCATGTTGTTAACCAACTGAACGTGGACCTAAGGTGTGGGACTATCAAAATGATTCTGTGTTTCCAGCGTGGCACCGGGTAGGTGTTAATGCTATTATTACCCTAGGCAGGTGAGATAAGTCGGATCTGGATGTGTTTTTAGTGCCTGTGGGAAATCTAGCCTTGGCGATGTTTACAAGGCTGAAGGTTAGGAGTGAAGGAAAGCTGGAGAGCAAGGTTTACAACTTCTTAGGACAGATGTGAAAGTTGGAATTCTGGGGAGAGCTCAGAGAGTCCAGGGAGGAGGCACAGCCTGAGGACAGCCAAGCTCACGCACAAGGAGGAGCAGCAGGAAGTGGTCCTCAGGCTCCTGCCCTCCTCCCCCATCTCTGCCCCAAACAGGGATGCATCACAGAGTGGCATGCTGTCCCGCCTGGGGGACCTGCTCTTCTACACTATTGCCGAGGGACAGGAACGCATTCCGATCCACAAGTTCACCACCGTAAGTTGACCTCTACTTGTTCAGACCCCGCATTCCATACAGTCTCTGGGAAGTGGGAAAAAGGAAGACTGGACAAGTCCAGGGCAGCTAACGGGTTGCTCTATGAGGACGGAGACAACAGATGGGTGATGACAGATGCCTAGGTAGACAAGTGGATCCCATCTCTGCCCTAGGGCTGCAAGATATAAAAATTTGGGGCACCCTCCCCCCAAGATTTAAAAACCCAGCGGCTGGTGAGAGTGACAGGAAACCACTTCAAAGCTGCTACCTCCCTTCCTTTCTAAGCCTCCATTTGTTCCACCTATTGTAGTCATTGGGGTTGAGCTAATTAGTAGGTGAAAGGAGCATTGTTGGAGCTTGACTTTACCAGGCCCCTTCTTTCTCCTAAAGGCACTGAAGGCCACTGGGCTGCAGACCTCAGACCCCCGGCTCCGGGACTGCATGAACCAGATGCGCCGCACGGTTCGAGAGTCCAGCAGCGGTGGCCTCTTGGATCGAGATCTCTTCCAAAAGTGAGGGCCCCAGAAACAGGAGCACTACTTGCAAAACTACTCTGTGGATGCAGATTTTCCAAGCAGGAAAGGCTCTTCGGGGTCATGTACTTCAAGCCCTCACTTTATTATTTATTACACAATACGTGGATACTCTTTATAAAAGTTCAAAAATATAGAAATAAACAGTCCCCTTTCCCTGTCTTCCCAATCCCTGGGCCCTTTCCCCAAAGTAAACACTGTTAAGATTAGTGGGGTGACTTCTTGATAGTACACTATGTATTTACATACTTATGTGAATATATGTAATTTATGACTTAGGATTTTTAACATGAACATGAAAGACTGTATGTATTGTGCTGGTTTTTCTGATCCCAAGACATTATGTGGTGGGACATCTTCCCATGTAATTACAAGCTCATTTCAGAGGCGAGGAAACTAAGAGCTAGAAAGACAAGCTGACATGTCAGAGGTCACACAGCCGATGGTCCCAAACCCGATGGCTGCTCACAACCTCTTTGTTCCCAACTTCCACGGCTCCAGCGTGAGTCCCAGCTGCATCTGTCTCCAGTCCCCTAATCCAGTCGTGTCTGGGATCCAGGTGTGTGAGCAGCAACATTGTGCTCCTGACCCAGGCTTTCCGGAAGAAGTTTGTCATTCCTGATTTTGAGGAGTTCACGGGCCACGTGGATCGCATCTTTGAGGATGCCAAAGAGCTCACTGGAGGCAAAGTGAGGACCAGGGGACCAAGGGAAGGGCAAGGGCTCTGGGCCAGACACCCCTTTCTTAGAGATTTTCTGGGGCTGAGAATCCAGCAGATGAGAGATAATAAGTAAAACCTGTTCCTATACAGGTGCTTCCTAGAGCAGGTTGGGGAGCCCTAGGTCCTTATGGAGACAATTACCGTAGTCAGCAGAGCTTTCAGAGAGACTTATAGGGTAACTGAGCATAAAAACCAAAAAGCAAAGTTGAGCCCAAAAATTTATTTTACTTTCCATGAGCTTTACAGGATTGGAGTGGAAGAAAGATAGGGCCCTCTAAGACTTAAGGCTTGGGTGTTTCTGGGAGCACTAGGCAGGAGGGACCCCTTTGCCCTGCAGGAGACAGAATCTGACCTTTTATCTAGACGACTCTCCTGACCAAGAAGCTCAGCTTCGTGCCTCTTCTGCACAGCCACGTGTCTTTCTTCTCTCCACCCACTCATGCCCAGGTGGCAGCCTACATCCCTCAGCTGGCCAAGTCAAACCCAGACCTGTGGGGCGTCTCCCTGTGTACTGTGGATGGTCAGCGGTGAGATGCTGGGTGAGAGGGAGGGGAGGCAGGGCACAGGTGATGACCAAGGGCCGGCCCTTTCATGGTACTTGTCTGCCCCCAGGCACTCCGTGGGCCACACAAAGATCCCCTTCTGCCTGCAGTCCTGTGTGAAGCCCCTAACCTATGCCATTGCCATCAGCACCCTGGGCACTGACTACGTGCACAGATTTGTGGGCAAGGAGCCCAGTGGCCTGCGCTACAACACGCTCTCCCTCAATGAGGAAGGTGAGCACTGCTGAGGGCTCCGACCAAACTCGTGTCTACCCCTTCTCCTCTCACCACCTGCCCCCAGCCCGGATTGTTCTGTGTCTCCACCCTTCCTGATTAGCCAGGCCAGGCCTTCCTCCTCGGCACATTAATCTTTCTAGTCTAACCTTCAGGGTGGGTGGGCTGTAAAGCAGGCTTTGTTCAGGGCTGACAGGCTCTGGGTGGTTTCTGTTTCCCCAGGAATCCCCCATAACCCTATGGTCAACGCTGGTGCCATCGTTGTCAGCTCCCTGATCAAGGTCAGTGCCACCCTACCCTCCTGAACGGTTCTCTTCCCTAAGCCCCCTTGATCCTATATCCCTCATAATCTGTTCAGCACTGGTGGGACCCTAATTCCTTTGAGGGTCCCCAGCAGACACAGGGGAGCACAGCAGGGCCCCACGGGCTACACTGAGGGTGTTAGTAAAAGGGACTGCACCACCTCCCCCACTGCTACCTTGTACAACGCCTGCCCCCACGCATGAGTCTAGAGCCCAGACCTTGCTGGCCATTAGGAAAGTGAGCAGGTCCTGACCTCTGCCTGGGACCAAGGACCAAATGCCAGAGACAGGGGGAGGACAACACTGTTCAGCACTGATTGGCCACTTGTGGGTGAGGAACACATGGAGGAAAGGGTGAACGGCCAGGCCAGGGCAGTTATTCACGTCACCTGGAACTGTGAGTTGGCCTTGAGCAAGGCTGTCAGGCTGGCTCATCAGCTGTAGGCCTCCCAGGGCTTGAGCAAGAACCCAGGGGCAGTGTAGGCCGCGACACTCTGGAGCCAATCACAGCCCCTCCTGGGGAAGGTGGTGTTAGGATCCCTCCCCTGGGGAAGCAGGTGTCAGAGTCCCTGTGGTGTTGACACTGTAGTTGACACATACATGGAGCAACGTGTCTGGGAGAGAGACCAGGCCGCCTGTCACCTCATTCTGTGATGACGCCATCTGCAGCCCTGTGTCTGGGGACCTGCCTCATCACATTCCCACCTACACAGGCCCTATCAGACTCGACTCTCAGCTAAAATCATCAGCTTTATTTCAGTTATAGGTAAAATAATACACGACAGACATCCTCATCCCATTCCTGCCACACCATCCAGTCTTGGAGATGGTACTGGAGTTGGGAGAGGGACGGAGTAAGGCTGTAACAGGGGGTGTAAGGAGTGGGGACAGAGATCAGGCGTAGGGGTTGGGGACAGGACTGGAGTTAGAAAAATAATATGACTTATTTGAAAGGCAGAGAGACAAAGATTTCTCATCCTCTGGTTCACTATCCCAAATGCCCACAATAGCCAGGCCGAGGCCAGGCTGAATCAAGGACTCTCACGTGGGTGGCAAGGACCCAACTACTTGAGCCATCCCTGCTGTCTCCCAGGCTGTGTGCTATAGCAAGCTGGGGTCAGGCGCAGAAGCTGGAATCAGAATCAGGCACTCTGATATGACATGTGGGCATCCCACCTGGCGTCATAGCTGTTGCACCAATGCTTGCCCTGGTTTGGTTTCTAAGATCACCAGATAATGTGTGGATACAAAAAGGTCCCCATTATATTTTTCAGAAGACTGTAAAATGCAACATATTCCAAGTAGCAAGACCAGTCTAACATTTTAACCCCAGGTCCTCCTCACCTTGCCTCTGTCATCCTCCTAGGTTTGAATACTGACAGCTCTCTGTCTCGCTCTCTCTGCAGATGGACTGTAACAAAGCGGAAAAGTTTGACTTTGTAAGTTCCCTTGCTACTCAGCCCCTGGCTGCTTTTCTCCTGGCATGCTGCCCCCTCCGGCTGCCTCTGTGGTTGACTAATCCCACTATCAGGTGCACCAGCCCATACTTAGAAACCTTATCTCAGGATGTGTGGGAATCAGCTGGCCTTGGGGAGCAGAGCCCCTTGAATCCCCTGCCCGGCTGGGTAAAGCTGGGAGGAAGACAGAGTAGTTCCAAGGGCCTGGTCAGCCTGGGATGTGTTTAATAGGGGTCTGTGGGCAAGTAATGCCTCCCATGCCCCTTCTTCTCTTCTCTTCAGGTGTTGCAGTATCTGAACAAAATGGCTGGGAATGAATACATGGGGTTCAGCAATGCCACGTAAGGAGGGCCCTGTTCAGATGGTCTGAGCAGGCTGAGGGGGACTGTGGGGCGGGAGAGAGGATCAGGGGGGCTGTGGGGTGAGAGGATCGCGGGAGGAAGAAGCCTCAGGGGAGCCCTGGCCTCCCACCTTCCTGTGAGCCCCTTTGCTGACACTTGTTTGCTATGTGAAATAACCTGTTCCTTTCCCAATTCGTGGGTAATGAGTGAGGCCGTGTGATGCCCTGTGCCTAAGCCCTTTCTCGCCAAGATTTTCCACAAGCTAAACACCAGCTCTCCTAGACATCTAGGCAGTCTGGGCTGGTTTTGTGTTTTTGCCATTTTACAAGAAAGCTCTGCTGAGAGTTGGCTCAGGGTCAAATGTTTCCTCTATTGCTGCTATTGCTGGCAGAAGGTATTAGGGGCTTAGTTTACTTATATCTGTGATGGACGTCTGACTCCCCAAACCCACCCCGCAAACTCCAAGCACTAAATTGGGTATTTGCCTCAGATTTCAGTCAGAGAAGGAGACTGGGGATCGGAATTATGCCATCGGCTATTATCTCAAGGAAAAGAAGGTAACTGAGACAGGCTGGGTGGAAGAGTCCCTGGGACTCCTGCTGCTGGTGGAGGGTGTTCGGGACGGGGACCGGGGCTGAGCCCTGGCAGTGTGAAGGGCTCAGAGAAAGGCTCCCCTCCTTCTCCTTGCAGTGCTTTCCTAATGGGGTAGACATGATGGCCGCCCTTGATCTCTACTTCCAGGTAAGCAAACAGTGCCCAGGGCCAAGGAAGCAGGACACACTGCCCTCCTTACTCCGGCCTGCGGGAGGGAGTCTCCTTCCAACTGGTTCTGGCAGCCGTCAGACACAGCTAGGGAACTTGTCCAGAGATCTAGATGCCAAGAGCAGTGTGTTCAAGTCCACACCACACCCTGGCCTCTCCCTTCTCTTCACAGCTGTGCTCCGTGGAGGTCACCTGTGAATCGGGCAGCGTTATGGCAGCCACCCTTGCCAATGGCGGGATCTGCCCCATCACCGGCGAGAGCGTGCTGAGCGCTGAAGCAGTGCGCAACACCCTCAGCCTCATGCATTCCTGCGGCATGTATGACTTCTCTGGCCAGTTTGCCTTCCACGTGAGTGTCTCTGGCCCTTCCACTCACCTGCCAAGAGCCCAGTGCCAAGAAGAGAGGATACTGGCTCTCTGAAGTTAGGAGAAGTGGAAGAATGCTTGGTCCTGCCTATCACTCTCCCAGCTTCCAGGCTGGAGAACTCCTAATTCCAGGCAGTTAGGCTGAGGCTCTCAGGGGAGTTTATCAACCACACCACATTCCTCACACACGTAAACCTGTGATGTCAGGCCTCTTACCCGCTCTTCCCTCCAGTGTCTCGGCTTAGGTGTCACTTCTAAAGAGTGGCTTTTTTTTTTTTTTTTTTTTTGAAAGGCACAGTTAGAGAGAGTTAGGGAGAGAACTTTTCAACTTCTGCTTCACTCCCCACATGGGCACAATGGCTGGGGCTGGGCCAGGCCAAAGCTAGGAGCCTGAACTCCATCTGGGTCTCCCATGTGGGTGCAAGGGCCCAAAGACTTGGGGAGTTGGATTGGAAGTTGAGCAGTCGGGACTTGAACCAGCTGGTAATGCAGGTGGTGGCTTAATCCATTGTGCCACAACGCTGGTCCTACAAGTGGCTTTTCTAACTGCCCTCTCAAGTGGGCCCTGCCCGGCCACTGCTCATGGTGCCTACCATTTTTCTTCCCAGTTTGTCAAAATTATTTTTGTCTGTTAACCTGTCTGTTAACCTGTGTGTTGCCTGTCTCCTACCACCAGAATGTAAGTTAAATGACAATTTTAGCACATCAACCAGCATGCTGTTATTATAAGTAGTTCCTAACTGAAACGATGAATTGAGGAAGTAAAGGGCAGGAGTAAGAAAGGAACTAATTAACAAGCCGAAGATTGAGGTAGGGTGTGCCTCACCTATGCAGCCACATGGGATAGCTGACTGGTTTATTTTCCCAGATGTGGGACATCCCCAACTCATCCTCAGCTCCAACTCTCTTTGCCAGGTGGGCCTGCCAGCCAAGTCAGCCGTGTCAGGGGCCATTCTCCTGGTGGTACCCAATGTCATGGGAATGATGTGTCTGTCACCTCCCTTGGATAAGCTCGGGAACAGCCACAGGGGCATCAACTTCTGCCAGGTAAGCTGCTTTGCACACAGGACTTAATAAATTGAGCAGTAAATTTAAATGGTAGCTATTGAAGTAAAGCAGTTTTGAGTTCCTTCTAAGTACAAGGTCTGAGTATACAATATCCGTGGCCTACAATTCTAGAGGTTGGTGTCTCTTTTCAACTTCCACAACTATGACAACCTGCGGCACTGCGCACGGAAGTTAGACCCACGGCGTGAAGGGGGAGAAGTCCGGGTAAGGAAAACCCCAATTGGCTGTTATGTATTTCAGAAGAGAACATCCCACCACATTCCAGCAATGCCTTTGGCCAGGCCTCCAAGGGGAGGGTCACAGGGAAGCCACAGTCAGTCTCAAGTGGGTGTGATTTGTGTTCCAGAACAAGACGGTGGTGAACCTGTTATTTGCTGCCTATAGTGGAGATGTCTCAGCTCTGCGAAGGTAATTCTGAGGCACAGCTCTTAGGAGACAGAATGGACACAGGTGGCATCTGAATGATGTATTTTTTTTTTAAAGTGCTTGCTTGCCATATGGTAAGAATTTGATTCATGACAGCCGCTGTTATTAACTTGGGTGTCAGGAGCAGAATGAGGGGAGGTAGGGACCCTGCCTGAAATGGCCGATAACAAATGAGTACTCATCTCTCTGTGATGGGAGCAAATCTCTTCTGGGTATAAAACACAGGTTATACAGAGCCCACAGACCTTGCCATGAACTGTTTTACTTTTTCTGGAACATATCCATCTGACCCCACTCCAGAAAGGACACTGATTCCAGACTGAGCCAGGTAACTTGAGCCACTTTCCACTCCCTTCAGGTTTGCCTTGTCAGCCATGAATATGGAACAGAAAGACTACGACTCCCGCACAGCTCTGCATGTTGCTGCAGCTGAAGGTATGTGAAGGGCTAAAGGGGAAACATTCTAAACCCTTTCCCACCAAGGGTACCCCCACTGTGTGTGTGTGAGTGTGTCCTCGACTAGTTGGGGCAGCAACTGTTTTTGTCCAGATGCCTTTTCCCCTCCCGTCTTGGTACAGACTCCAGCAGCCAAGGGTCTGCCTCAAAGGGTTCAGCAACTGTACCCTCTCATTTTTCTTCTGCTTGTATTCCTAGGACACACTGAAGTTGTTAAATTCCTGATTGAGGCTTGCAAAGTGAATCCTTTTGTCAAGGACAGGTGTGTAGGATGAGGCTGGGAGGGAGAGGAGAGGTGGGGCATGGCTCCACCATTGCCTCAAAGCCACCAGGCTCATGGGAACAGCCGTGGTCTGTGTCTTGACCTGATCATAATCACTTTTCCTCCCAGGTGGGGCAACATTCCTCTGGACGATGCTGTGCAGTTCAACCACCTGGAGGTGGTCAAACTGCTCCAAGATTACCAGGACTCCTACGTACTCTCTGAGACCCAGGCTGAGGCCGAAGCTGAGGCCCTATCCAAAGAAAATTTAGAGAGCATGGTGTGATCCCGGGTCATGGACAGTCCCTGCTTAAGCATGAGCTGGCCACACACTTAACCTATAACCACCAAAAACGCTATGGAGCTACAGTGCTTCAGTGAGCACCAAGAAATTCATTTGGTGACACAGCCCAGTGCTTTCTGTGAGTCACTATACCCAGCCCCTTTGCAGACCTCGAGGACAGAAGAGGGCCTCCGTGGACACCTGCAGTAGAGCCATCCATAGAGACTGTGGGCTTCTTTAAGGCACAGCCTGATGGCTTGGCCCAGTGACAGCCACCCCAGGCCTTCACCTGGGCTCCCTCCTCCTCTCCCTGAAGCAACTATCACGTGAGAAAGAGACACGGTGGAGGGGCTCCAGCTATCAAGCACATGTGTGAGTGAACAGAGTAAGACAAAAGGAGAGCCTGAGCACCTGGCCTTAGGAGTCTGGACAGATGTGGCCCCCTTAGGCAGGACTTGCTGCTGCTACTGTTAACAGCAATTTTATAGACAGAGAACGTATTTTGTGCTCAAATAAAGTTTAATTACACAAACTATAATTTTTGCTAATCCCAGTTTTCTGTTTCTCCCCAGTGGGTATCCAGTTTCATCACCATCATAGAAAGTAGAATGAGAAAGAATCACAGGGTCAGACTGAGCCCAAACAATGCATATTTCATAGACATATTTGCCTACCCCACCAGGTTTCTCAGAACCCCAGACACTGCTTTGGGTTAGCTTGCTCTCCTTCCTCTAGAGGTTCCAAGTAGGGCAGCAATGAATACAGAACTTCTCAAGAAAGTTTCTAACACTAACCCTAGATATCCCCTTTGGTCATATTGATTATGACAGACTGGCTGGTGGTCAGAGGTGTAGGTGAAGATGACCTCCAGGTGAGGACAGCTGTACTGGACTGAGGGTCTGTGGTGCTGAGGTGCTGGGGAAGGAAGGCTCTGTTCCCACCCTGACACACTAAATCAATAAAGCACTTACCAAGGGAGCCAGAGCACTCTGTGCGCTGTAGAGAGAGGGGCAACTCATTGAACGCACCTCCTCCAGCCAGAGGTAGAGATTTGGTAGAGCCCCAAGAACAAACAAGCCACACGAGAGCAAAGGGAAGGAGAGGTATCCCCATGATTAACAAATCCAAACAAAGCTCAAAGATCAGACTCAGGACAGAATACAGTTTGAGAATGGCCTGGGCACAGGTGATGTGGAGAGACTGAAGAAAGAAAGGGAAACACACTCAAGGCGGTCTAGGAAATTGGCAGCTGTTGGTGGGGGGGAAGGGGGGGTGCTGGTGGTATGCCTAGCTTTCACAGGGCAGGGGAGGGAGAAGGATGAGTGAAACTGCACAGGGGACTCCACGCAGGGGTGTGGGAATCAGAGATTGCTTGGGGCAGAGTAAAAAGCCTTCAGACACTTAATAGAACACTGGCCAAGACCATGATTAGCGACTCCAGTGAGGAACATTCTAGAGGCCTTTGGGCACCTCAAGCCCTGAGTGAGTCAGCAGCTCTCCATCCCAAAGAGCAAAGGCAGGCACCACTGGACCCCGGAAGTCTGTCTGCAGCGTGTAGATCACAGAGACCTGGTTCACATCTACCAGGCTCAGCTTCTGCGCCTCATACTCCAGCAGCAGCCCCACTTTCTCTGGCTGCCCGATACCCTCAATCGGAGCTTTCTCATTGGCCAGCATCGTATGCCACTTGCGCTGGGCATAGGAGAACACCCAGGATCGATCATCAGCACCAATGCAGCTATCCCGGGACATGTCCACATCGGCCACTCCTATCCGGAACTGCTGGGAGCGCTTCACCGTCACCTCCCAGTAGTGTCTCCCGCTGGTGACCGCTGTGTCTGCCAGCACCACTGCCCACTCCCGGAAGCGCTCCGTATTCAGGGCCACCTTGCTGGGTTCCAATCCCACCAAGCCATACTTGACACCTGTGTCACCTTTGAAGAGCGCCAGGCTGCTGTGGGCAGTTTTTTCTTCCAGTTTGAAACTGACGCCTGCGGGTAGAGCAAAAAGACTGGATAACGACACGGACTAGACCCTTAGGGCTGGTGATAAATTCCCACGTGAAGCAGGCAGGCAGGCAGGCGATCACTAGCAAGCCGAGAAGAATCGGGACGCCAAACTGGCAGCAGAGGAGGTTGCTTTTAGCATGGGCGGCCCCAGGAGCCAAAAGACTCGAACTGGGTAATTCTCGGGGTCTAAAGAAAACAGATGGCAGCCCCAGTTTGGAACCTCGAGACTAACACAACCGGGAGAGGGGAATTGACCCGGGGTTCGGGCTGTTTCTTGGAGCGTGCTCCCGGAGTGACAGAGAGCCATTTCGGAGGTAAAAGAATAAAAGTTGACAACCCTACCTCTCCGGGCTTCCGCAGCAACACCCCCCAATCGTTTGACTCCCCAGCGGCACCAGCGCAAGGAATGTGCAAAGCGCAGTGCCATCTTGCGCCACGGACGAACGAGGTGAGCCCCCGGCCTGACCCCCAGCCATCTGCAGGCGGGCAGCGCCAGCGCGGGGTGCGCGGCGCCCGCGCGGCTTGATGACGTCAGGCGCCGCCTCCCGGCGCGCGGCGCGCTCTCCGCCGGTCCTGTCAGGTTGCAGCCAATCTTGGGTGTAGTTTACTTACCGTTTTTATTTGCTAGAGGGCCGCTGCTCCAACTAGGACCTCGGGAGGTGGTGTAGCCACGCACTTTAAGAATATAGAATTTAGAGGCGTGTATTTGCCCCGGCGGTTCCGACGCCGCGCGGGACACTTATGCCCGACTCCAGAGTGCCTGTTCAAGTTGTGGCCTTGCTCCGGAAAACGGCTCCTACGGTTGCAGACCCTGGGAGGCAGCGGTGATGGCCCAAGAAGTTGGGTCCCTGCCTGCCACAGAAGGGACTGACTCAAGCCTGGCCAAGCTGCTGCTGCTGTTATTTGGAGAGTGACCCAAAGGATGGGTGTGCCATCATCACTCTCTCTTCAAATATTTTTTAAGGTATAGATTTTAGAATGAAACAATAATTGCTCCACTGTATGACTTTGGGCAAGTCATTTAACTACTGTGAGCCTTCATGCTCTTGTTTGTAAAACAAATGATATACAGCCCTTAGGCCTTAGTAAAAATTAAATGAGAATAATCTAGAATACAGCTAGACGAACAGCAACTACTGGTATAACAGTTGGAATATTAAATGTATACTGTAAATGTCACGTTTATGTTCTGAAAGCTAAGAATAGATGGTTTAATTCAATACAGCATTTGTTTTTTCGCATCTTAGTGTTGTGGTTCAGAGTGGAGCAGTTATGAAGTATGCATTTAACATTTTGATATGCTTGAGGCTCTGAATCCCTGCCTTCTAAAGTTTTCAGTCTACTTCTCAACGTTCTGCTGGTCAGCCCAATGTCAACATCACCCCTTCATCCTCCTACCTTCTAAAAAGAAGATATTTTAGATCTTTAAATGCCTAAAAAATTTAACCCTCAACCCTTTACCCTCCCAGAATTCCATGGACATTGTCTTAGTAGAGGGCCTCAGTTTTTTTTTTTAAAGATTTATTTATTTATTTGAGAGGCAGAGAGAGAGAGAGGCCTTCCATCTGCTGGTTCACTCCCCAGATGGTTGCAACAGCCGGAGCTGGGCAGATCCAAAGGCAGGAGCCTGGAGCTTCTTCCAAGTCTCCCTCGTGGGTGCAGGGGCCCAAGGACTTGGGCCATCCTCCACTGCTTTCCCAGGCACATTAGCAGGGAGATGGATCAGAAGTGGAGCAGCAGAGTCTCCAGCCAGCACCCATATAGGATGCCAGCATTGTAGGCAGTGGCTTTACCAGCTATGCCACAGCACCGGCCCCAGAAAAGATTTTAATTATTTATTTGAAAGGCAGAATGACAGAGGGAGAGAGACAGAGAAAGAGCATCTTCCACCTGTTGATTTACTCCCCAAATAGCTATAGCGGCAGCCTGGCCCAGGCAGGAGCTAAAACTCCATCCAGGTGTCCCATGAAGGTGGCATGGACCCAGGCATTTGGGCCACCCTCTGATGCCTTTCCAGGTTCATTAGCAGGGAACTGCATGGGAAGGGGAGCAGCTGGGACTCAAACCCGTGCCCCATAAATATGGGATACCTGCATCACAATTGGCAGCTTAACTCCCTGTGCCACACACAGGCCCCAAGGGCTGCTCATCTTCCAACCTGGTCTCAGCTTCCATCTGTCTGCGTTTAATCTAGAATCCGTACTACATCTGGATTAATATTTGGAAGCCGCACATCTGATCTTGCCACGCCCCTGCTTAAATGTTTTCAGGTGCTTGCATCACATTCCCTTGCCTGGCCACAAGGCTTTACATGACACGACTGTTAGCAGACACAGGGTTCCATTCGCTTGGGCTGTCGCTAAATAATCCGACTCAAAAGGGACTTGTTCAGAGGAAAATATTTGCTTGTAACAGGAAAACGAGATGGAGAAAGGAATATAGTTCCCTAAAGAAAATACCTCCCCAAGAAGCAATTTGCCAGGGTTTTTATAGCAAGGGTTAAGGGACTGTCCGGGATGAAGGGGGGCAAGGGGATGACCCTTCCTGCTTGCAATACACATCTTTATACATTGCATGTTAACAAAAAAATCTGACTCAGGGGTGGGCATTTGGTGCAGTGGTGAAGCTGCTACTTGGGACTCCTGCAATCCGTATGAGAGTGCCTGGGTTTGGATTTGAGTCTGGCTTCTGGTTTCAGCGTCCTACTAGTATGCATCCTGAGAGGCAGCAGCGATGGCTCAACTAGTTGGGTCCCTTTCACCCACACAGGAAATCTGGATTGAGTTCCTAGTTCCTGGCTCCTGGCTTCAGTTTGGCCCAGACCCAGCAGTTGTGGGCATTTGGGACGTGAACCAGCTGGTGGGAAGATCTCTGCCTCCCTCTCTCTCTCTGCCTTTCAAGTAAATAAAAAATAAAAAATTGACAAAAGGAAACTGAGGGGGCAGCACTGTGGCCTGAAGCGCCGGCATCCCATATAGGCACCAGCTCTAGTCCCGGCTGCTCCTCTTCTGATCCAGCTCTCTGCTATGGCCTGGGCAAGCAGTAGAAGATGGCCCAAGTGCTTGGGCCCCTGCACTCACATGGGAGACCTGGAAGAAGCTCCTGACTCCTGGCTTCGGATCAGCGCAGCTCTGGCCGTTGCGGCCATCTGGGGAGTGAACCAGCGAATGGAAGACCTCTCTCTCTGCTCTACCTCTCTCTGTAGCTCTGTCTTTCAAATAAATAAAATAAATCTATAAAAAAGAAAGAAAGAAAAAAGGAAACAGACTAGTTTCCTGCAGCTTTAACCTTCCTTGTTTGTGGTGATCTGGGTGCAGAGTTGCAAGACAAGCTTTCCTCAGATATCCTTGGAAAAAACTGCTCAGGACACTAAACTTGCAGATGGTGCCCACAATGCAGTGCCCCCTTCCGCCTAAATCCAGTACTCTTGGTTACAACTGCTGCCTCCCATCCTTGTGCATGTTCACAAAATAATTCCTTCTTTCAAGGGCCTATGATCTAATTGGGAGTAGATGAGAATATTGGCTGT